CTACACCTACAGATAAAGCTTGCAGGGAAATAAAAACAATCAGGGTGTTAAGGCAATAGGAATAAGGCGACCTTTTCTCTTGCTTTTAATTTCCTGCAATATTGTTCTCACAATAAACAAGGCTCCCCTCCGCCCCCTACCAAAATATCAAAAGTATTTATCTCTTCTGCTCCACTTCTATTGTGTTTCCCCTATCAGGGCTACATTCTTCCCTGCCTGGATCGTCGCCCCATCTTGGCCTCCCTTCAGCCCATCGAGGTTTCCAATGTTGACAAGATGCCTAAAGTGCCACATGAAATCATGTCACTTGCCTAATAATGAGTAGCCTTTAATTGCCCCTAAGTTCTGTGGTTCTATCTAGTATGTGAGGTCTCTATATCCTGGCCCAATGCATCACTCTTCCTTTTTCTTCTCTACTGTTCCCTACTGCTTGTTCCTCTTCCTCCTCCTCCTGAACACAGCCAACACTAACTGAGGGCTAACAGTGTGTCAAGCCTTCTTCTCAATGCTTTGCATATATGAGTTGATGGGGGAAATGGAATGAGAAGATAAGTTTACTTTGAAATCCATGTACACAAACTCTCTTGGTCCTCACAACAACCATTTGAGGTTAGGTTTTCTTCCCTTATTTTAGGGTAAAAGAGAAGAAAATTGAGATAGGGATGGAGAGGGATGAAGGGAAGTAGGGGAGGGGAGAGAGAGGCAGGTATGATTTGAACTCTAGGAAGACTGACTTCAAAGCCAGAACTTAACCTGTAGGGTTTATTCCTTGAGGAAACATGCTTAGCCTTCTCTCTGGGTCTTTCTCCCTGTGGTTTCCAGTCTTCAGTGTTCTTACCTTCCAGTGAGCTTAAAGAAGGTACAGTAAGATATTTATCGTGTATTAACCCCCTTACTATGTGAACTTTCTTGTTTAATTCCTGTATTTGACAAGGTTTCATCTTTTGGCAGCTTGTGTGAGCAAGCAAAAGCTGAGTTTAAACTCTGGATTTTCCCCTTACTCACTGGAAGACCTTGAGTTAATCCCTTAGCCTCCCTGAACCTCAGACTCTTTACTTGAGTTAGTGGCTCTCCAAGTGTGAGCTCGGGTCAGCTGCATTAGCATCGCCTAGGAGCTTGTTGGAAATGGATATTTTGAGCCCCACTTCATACCTACCGAATCACACTCTCGGGGCGGGAGGGCCCAACTGTCCATCTGTGTTTCAACAAGCTCTTCAGGGGTTTCTATTGTATGCTTTCATTTAAGAACCTCTGCCCTAGTTACAAAATACCCACCTGACAGAGCCGCTGGGAAGACAAAGCATAGCCCAACATGTGTAACTCGGCTCACAGCACAAAGGTTGTGTTGCAAGTGGTAATTTATTATTACTGCTATTTAACTTTATGTGGGTTAGTCTTCCTTGCTCAAGCTGTTGGCAGGCACCGTGCTTCCTGCTGCTCTTTCAATTGTATTTCCCACCTTGCCTACTAAAAGGTAGCACATATATGAGTCAAAAGTTCATGGAAAACGGGATTAAAACATAAGCTTACTTTTGTGCAAAAAATTTTTTTTTGAATTTCTGCTTACTCTTACTTGGTTTTCAATAAAGTCCTCTCACTTCACTAATCAGTAAACCATTTTGGAGAAGCACAGTAGGATGGAGTAATATCTCTGAAGCAATACCACCTGGGTCTAGTCTAGCTGTGAAACTTTATGTCAACGAATGCATCTCTGTGTGCTTCTGTTTCTTCTCTCTGTCAAACGTAGAGACGAACAGTACCAACCCCATAAGTTCATGGTGAGAAATAATTGCAAAGTGCTTTGAATGGTGCCTAGGACAGACCACACTGCTCAAGTAATGTTACTTAGCATGCTTATTTTTGTGTCATTTCACCCATTCAATGGGGCAGGAGGTTTTGTTTCTTCCTTTGGCAAGAAAATGACAAACCCTTCTTGAGCAACTTCTCTGTGTCGGGCACAAAGCCAGGCACAGAGAATAAGGCTACAACCAAGGCATGGTCTCTTCTGTCAAGGGCCTCAATCTAATCTAGGAAACTTGGCAGGCCTGCTACACTGAAATGACTTCTCCAAGGACACAATGCAAGCCAGGCTGGGGCTGGGAAATCAAGACCAGCCGTAGAATTCCATGGAATCCTCACCCAGGATTTAGACTCTTAAGCATGATGCTAAGTGATTCATTTGAAGTTTTCCTTAGGAATCTTTATTAATAGAGACCTATATAACAATAATAATAATAATAATAATAATAATAAAGAAAACATGACCTCTGGGGCCAGACAAACCTAGGTCCAAATCTTGACTCTATTTCTTGCTGGCTTGGTGACCTCAGCTAAGTTGTATAAACGCTCTGGACCTCAACTATGAAATGGGTGGCAAAATGAACTATTGTGAAGAATGAATACAATTGTGAGTGTCAAAACACTCAGCCTGGGGCTGGCACTGTGGCGTAGCGGGTAAAGCCGCTGCCCGAAGTGCCGGCATCCCATATGGGTGCCAATTTGAGTTGGCTGCTCCACTTCTGATCCAGCTCTCTGCTAATGTGCCTGGGAAAGCAGTAGAAGATGGCCCAAGTGCTTGGGCCCCTGCACCTGCATGGGAGACCCAGAAGAAGTTCCTGGCTCCTGGCTTCGGATCGGCCCAGCCATTTTGGGGAGTGAACCAGCAGATGGAAGACCTCTCTTGCTCTCTCTGCCTCTGCCTCTCTGTACCTCTGCTTAATAATAAATAAATAAATCCTAAAAAAAAAAAATTCAGCCTAGTGGCTAACACTAGGTGACCAATAAAAATTGGGTTCCTTGCCTTTCCCATTGTGAACCAGAAAACTGATAGGTTTTCCAGATTTAGGAGTTGAAGGAACATTAAAATTATTCCTATTTGATCAAATCACAGGAGATTAGAGAGACCCCCCCAGAAAGAACTCTGGACTCTTCAAGGGTCAGGACACTAAGATTCTGGTCCTTTCTCTTGGTGGCCCCACCTTGGGTAACAGAAACATAGCTTGGAGCCTTCTTTCCTGCGCTTGCCTTTATTTCTGGAGTTTGAGTTAAGAATCAGTAGCATCTAGGGGCTTCTTATATCACCTGGGCAAGAAGAACTGACTGAAATAGTATATCAATGAGTTTCACAAAAGAGGTTCCAAGGAGGCTGATGGACAGTGACCCAGGTAAAATTAACTTCTTCCTTAGATTTACCTAGGGCATCCTCACTTCTGGAGAACTGGGGGTGCTACATGTCACAGTCCCCATATTATAAGAGTAGCTGCTGTACCCTACAAATATGTTCCATAAGGGCTATTCCCATGCAGCCCAAGTCCCACATGCCATTTGTAAAAATGACCTTGCTTTCCTCCAGTAATTTTAGTGTGTGGTCAGTATGATCTGTTTCCGGACTTCATGAGCAAGCCTAAAGTTCTCAACAAGCCCTATTAAAAGAAAGGTGGCAGGGGCTGGCTCTGTGGCGTAGTGCATAAAGCCGCTCCCTGAGGTGCTGGCATCTCATATGGGTATTGGTTCGTGTCCTGGCTGTTCCACTTCTGATACAGCTCCCTGCTAATGTGCCTGGGAAAGCAGCGGAGGATGGCCCCCAAGTCCTTGGGCCCATACACGCACGTGGAGACAACCCACAAGTATCTACTGGCTCCTGGTTTTGGATGGGTTCGGTTTTGGATTTTGCTTTTTTGTTTTTTTATATTTTTTTTTTTGAAA